GTTTGTATTAGCCTTGGGTAGAGTGTGAATGACGTCAGCTCAATGGCCTTCACCTTCCAGCAGATAACGATTGGATTTGTGTTTCCTGTGCTTGTCATGAGTCTCTCTGAGCTGTAAAAATTTAGAGAGAAACATGTATTAATTTATCCATTTAGGGGAGGTAACTGCTTGAGACTGCAGAGATGCTGTTGGTCTTCTCTAGGGCTTGGAAGCTCTCCATCACTGGCTGTTTGAGGAGCATTGCTGCAGCATCAGCTGTATGCTGGGTAAAGCCAGGGTGAGATAGTTTTATTTTAAGCTTCTCTAGTGGAGTAGGAGTTGGTTTAGACTTAAAACTCAAGACCAGAACACCAGCTGGTCTTTTTCAGCAGGCTCCATTAACATCATCTGAGAGTTTTGGGAAAGGGACACACAGGAATTTCCCTGTTGCTGTTTTTGAGCCTAGCTTTAGGCTTTCTGTTTGTTCCCTTTTCTTTGAAAGCTGTAAGGGATGATGTACAGGAAGACCAAGATATGTGGCGTTGAACTTCTATTTTTTTTTTTTTTGAAAGCTTTATCAGTTTTAAGGATGGTTATTTCAACAGCAGTGTTCTTTTCCAGAGGGGAAAGTGTAATAGAAAGTACTAAGTATTAGAGCAGATTTGATGTTGCTCAGAGCTTCCCCCTGTTGAATACCTTCCCTTAAATGAAGATCATGTATTTAAAACTGCTCATTTAAATGCAAGTCCTGCTGCCCTTAATACAAGGGCCATGTTTATCCAAAGACTGACTGGAGTGATGGGTGTGAGTGAAAGCTGCTGCAAGGGCCAATGTCAGTGATACCCTTAACTGATCAACAGAGAGCCCCACTAATTTGTAAGTTTTAGACTCCAAGGGACTCCTTTTCTGCTGTGAAGCTCTAACAAGCATCTCTAATCTCTTCCCATGGGTGTTGGCATTGTATTTGGGTATTACAGGATTAAGTAAATTGTGTGCCCAGGGAGTTCTGTACAGTGGGCTGGTAGTTTCTGCAATGCTGTATCTCACCAGCAGAGCCTCCAGCAGCCAAGAATCCTGAATCCAAGGAGATGGTGCTCCATACAGACAGTTGACCCAGAGCTCTTGGTAGACAGGAGGAGCCACAGAGCACAGTGGGAGTTTGGATTAGTGATAGGTCACAGGTTGCTGCCCTTAAGACTTGCTTGTGGGGAAGTGGGATGACAGTGATAATAGCTGAGATGGACATGCTGGCTCTCACAGTTTTCCTGGGGTGAGTTTCTTGGAGGAAGTTGTGTTTCTCAACATCTACTACTGAGTACTTCCCCTGGTGAGGTGCCTGTTGATCTGTCACCCCATCTCTGGGTCACAAAGCTGCTGCAGAGAGTTTTCAGAGGGCTTTCATTGAAGGGCACCCTGAGGCAGAGCCGTGATGCCCAGAGGAAGGTGAGTGGCTCTCAGGAGATCCCATAGCCAAGGGATCCAACATCAGCATATTAGACCTCTTTCAATAGCAAGTCCAAAGAAAACCCTCAAACCCAGACAGTCCAAGGTGGGTGTTTCATCCTCCATCAGAGCAGAAGCAGGACACATCCTCAGTCACGACACAAGAAGCATTTCAACTTGCTCTGCATCCCAGGATGGAGTTCAGCATATGGGAAGGCAAAGCCAGATTAAAGCAGGAGCCACAAAGACAGGAGTCAGAGCTGATGTGTCCCTGCAGCTGTTGCTTCTTGTGTTTGTTCTCCAGGGTGGAGTTCTGTAACTTTACTGCTGAATTGAAGGGTATTTAGCAATATTTAACAATGTTGGCTTGGTCAGGATAGATTGTACTGAACCTTTGTGTCGTATTCTGACTCAAAATGAGTTGTTTAGGGTTGGAGTGGATGTTGGAATATATGCTGTCAGTGTGGTGATTTATAGAGCCATAAAGTGGAACTGCCAGCTCCATGAAAACAGATCCAGCTTGGTAAGAAATGTGGTAAGAAACACAGCTTCCAGATTCCCAGATTTAAAAGTAATACCAATAATTCACAGCAGAGTCGCTGCTACATGGCACGTGGCATCCTGCGTGGTTTAACCCCAGCCAGCAGCTGCACCCTCACGACCCTCACTCCCCCAGTGGGATGAGAGGAGACCTGGAGAACAGGTAAATCCCATGAGTTGAGACAAGAAAAATTTAATAATTGAAATAAAATATCATAATAGTAATAATAGTAATAATATAATTGTAATGCAAAGGGAGACAACAAAAAAAAGAGAGAAACCGAGCACTGCATCAGCTACTAGGGAGAAAATAAGTAAAAGTAAATTAAAAAAAATAAATACATAGAAACTCTATCCCAGGACACATAGCAGCATAAGTCCACTGTGGTCTGGTCTCAGGGAGAGCTAGTAATTTGCATGGAATTCCACTACTTAAATGTTTTAGGGACTGTGCCTTCTAACAGGAACCCCTCTTGTATTCAAGGATCTGCTCTCAGAGCAGAAACAAATGCTTACAGAAACAGATCTGTTCTGGGAAAGCTTGTTTATCTTGTTCAGAATGAAATTGGACCTGGGAAAACATCACCAAAATAGCCAGTAGTCATAGTTCTGTCACCTTGGCCATAAGTTTCTCCTTCAGCCCACATCCCTGTTTCCCACGTGCCTTGGGAGCAGTAGGCTCTTGTTGGTCATCAGGTGGGTTCTGCTTTTTGTGGTTTCATGTAATTTTGGGAAGGTTCCACTTTTATTCTCAGGGATAATTCAACCAAATCTCAAAATCTTACTTTTTTTTTTTTTAAGGAAGGAATTTTTGTTTTCTGGCCAGCTGCATTTATATATTCAGAAATGCAAGCCCTTTCCCTTGTTTAAATAAGAGTTAATGAAAACCTTCAAATGGCTTGGCAGCCATACAGTCTATGTCTTGGATACAATAGGCAGCTTGTGTTCAGTCAGTTAATGGACATCTGGGGCAGTTTCTAGGTTGATGTCAGACAAAAAGCCATTTCTGGACATTTTGGTCTTATAGGAAAGGTTTAAATTAAAAGTGGGGCTTTTTTTCCTCCCCTCAACGACTTTCCCCTTAAACCGAGTCTTTGTTTTATTCTGTGCTCATTTATTGCTATTCTTCCTCTGCTTTCCTTTTCCAGGATTTTTTCCAGCAAGCAAAAGGAGCACAATTGCAAACATGCTCAAGACATTGCTAAACCACATGTAATTTAAAGAGGAAATCAGTATTTTGTTGAATAAATGAGAGTAGATAAGCTCCTACTTGGGAACTAAAGAGCTCCAAACTTCTAGAGGGCATCTCCTGCCCCAGGCAGAGTAGCTACTAGGGGAGCTTATCATGTTAGAGATGCTGAAATGTTTTGATGATGAGCCAGAAATGGGTGCTCTTTAAATGTTATCATCCTTTCTGGTGCCAGAGACCTGCTCACTGAAATAGTTTGAATGTGAGGCTGGAGTTTGGTTTTGATCTTGTGTTTGAATTGCTGTGTAATTGCCTCTGTGTTGTTGATTTGTGGCTGAAGTTTCCACTAGGTCTGGATAAACCTGTTTAGGTAATTGGGACTGTTTTTATTCCCCTGGCCCACGCTGGGTGCCTGTAGGCCTCCAAAAAAAGCCATTTCTCGTCTGGAGAGGCACCAACTGCGGCAAAGGGCTCAGTTCAGATATGAATCCGATGGATTTGTGCCAACCTTCACCACTGCCAAAGCTGAAGTAATGAGTGGCAAACTTGTCACAGTTCAACCAAACCATCCTGCAACCTGCCAAGGCTTTGTAACTTCATTACACTTATGAGCTTGTTTGTGTGTTTGTGGACCGGTGCAGCGATGCAATGATGTCCCTGCTCATGGATCATCACCAAAACTGAAAGCTTGTCAGCAGATTGTGGCTCTTCAGTTTTCCTAAAATCAACCATTGCTTTCAGCTTTTGGTCCCTATTGTGCTGGTAAACAAAAGAAGAACTGGACATGCTTTTGAAGAATTCATATTCAGACTAGTCAGTCAGTTTTAAGGGAAGAGAAGTGGCTCAGCGTAAATGTAACATACTTCTACTGAGGGCTCACGCCCAAAAATAATTAAGCACAACTAAATTATTCCAGTGCAGAGATAAGGCATATTTGAACCAGAGATATCTTAGTTTTTATCACCTGCTTGTTAATGATAGTACAACAAAGCAATTTCACGTTTCCTGCAAGTAAGTATTTATCTACCACATATAAGATGACACATCAGGTGGCGAAATGCAAGTTGTGAATTTCCAGTAGGTTTGATCTAAACCAAGTTCCCCTTCACCGTGCTGAAAGTTCTATTTCAGTTTGAATGTGTGTAACTATGTTTTTGCAGGTGTGCATTCAAATCCTTAATACGAGTGCATATGTGAATTGTGGTGTTCAAGGTCACAGATGGAAAGCATTGCTTGAAGTGTTTCCAGAAAACTGATATTCCTACCTGCATGTAGAGTACATTCCTTTTACCTTTGTTTAGAATGGGGAAGTAATTATAGTTGGAAGTATATGAGTAAGAAGGACAAAGTTTTAGTCATAAACAGAGGGAGTTTTCCCAGGTCAGCACACAATTGATCTAAATCTGATCATTTTCTCCAGTGCTGGACATTCTTGCTGGATGAGTTCTCAAGTGGAGGGTTTTGCCTTGAGAGCTTTGTTTAGCAGTTGCACTTCAGGCAATGCACTCCTGGGAATGCCTGAGAAATGTCGTGGTATCAGCGTCTGTAAATGAGCCTCAGCAAAGACAGAAACACAGGGGGGTTGTCTGCTACAAAATATATGTCCAGCTGTGAGATACAGGAGGGCAGAAATCTTTCATTTTTGGATTTTACCCAGTTTTTATAGCTGTACTTAGCCCTTTCACTGTAGCAGATTAACCACAAGTGGTTGGGATAGGTATTTTGGGAAAGCTCTTGCTCGGGCCATGTGCTAACTCCATCAGATTCTGGATACAACTTCATTCAAGCAGATGTTAGAGTTGGCAGCACTTCTGCCTCTGTTAATAAACGTGTCTCATCTCTTTTCCAGGACTCAAATCTTACGATACACACCGATAACCCAGACCTGACACCGTGTTTCCAGAATACCATCCTAGCCTGGATCCCCAGTATTTATCTATGGAGTGCATTACCCTTTTATCTTCTCTACCTAAAGCGCAACAAAAGAGGGTACATCGTGCTGTCCGTGCTGAGCAGGTTCAAGACGGTAAGATGCCTTTGCAGTGCTCCACGTGCAGTGTAGGGTTCATTAGCATTGGTTCGGAATCTAAGGAAATGCTGCAGTAGGGTTTCAACAAAAGTCCCTCTGATTTAAGGGGGAACTGAAGAACGTGCTCATAGAAAAGAAACTTTATGTACAGATTTTTGAGGAAGGAAATCCCTCCTGCGAGCCCACTTTCTGGGTAGAGAGAGGAGTTGATTTCTCTGCAGAAGAGAGTTCACCCCTTTGTGAGCCAAAACTATGCTGCTTCACTCTTACTTAAGGTTTAAACCACTGAAAGCTGCAAAACAAAGACCTTAAGCTAGGTCTAGTGGGAATTTCATCTCATTGTGAAAGTAAGGACAAGAAGGGGTTTTTTTAAGCCACTCTCCACACCCAATAGCTGTGTGATTTCATCTCCAGCTTGTACTTAAGAGGTGCCTGGTTTGTAAGTGACTGGGTCTAAGGAAAGCAAACAAGTCACTTTTCCATAGGCCATGAAAAAACTGGACTTACTCCTGGAGAAAAATACCAGGCTTCTGCTTCAGGGCATGTCTGCCTTTAATCTGGATGCTGCTTGTGTTTCTAATCCAAATGGAATAGTAGGGGGAAAAAACCAGGCAAATACATTAGAGCTTCTACTGGTTGTGTTTGCAAATCCCTCATGAAGCGGTTGAGATGAGACCCTTGGTTTGAGTGCAGCGGGACAGTTCCTTTAGCGCTGTTGCTCTGTTTACACAGCTTTGTTTTGCTGGGAATCTGTGAATCAGGATGGTTTTGTCAGCTCTCCCACTGCCCTCGGAGAGGAGTTTACCAAATGCTGTTCCTGTTTGACTGCTTTCAGCTGTTTGGTGTCCTGCTGTGGTCCGTGAGCTGGGCTGACCTCTTCTACTCCTTCCACGAGCTCCTGCAAAACAGAACCCCTCCACCAGTCTATTTTGTGACCCCACTGGTCGTTGGCATCACTGTGGTTTGTAGCTGTTTCTGTTTATTGTGACCAGTATGAATAACGTTTTCTTAGGCAGATGAAGGATAAGGAGCCCCTTTGCATTCATTGCCTTATCCTGACCTTTTTTGACTGAATTATTAGTGCTTGTATTATGGAAGCAGATTTTGCTGCTGAAAAGGCCACAGTCAGAAATATCTCTCTCAAGTAGATTCAGCTGTGTAAATTAAAATATTTATAATGGAGAGATTGTTCTGTCTCCCTCCTTGCTTTTACCTATTTGTCCAGGCTTGGGATTCAGGTCTGGAGAGAATTTGGATATGACTTTGCCTAAATGGGGGGATACAATAGGGCATGTCTTGTGCATTGTTCAATATTGTATTGGACTTTGTAAAACTGGAGGTAACTGTAATCACTGGAGGTGGTTGTTCCTCCATTAGACAAGCCAAGTTTGCTTTGCCTAGGATGACAAACAGGCTTGTGGCTGTTGTATGAAAAAATAGAGCGGTAAAATTTGCCTATTGGGTTTTTAATTTCCTTGGTTAGATTTTTAAAAAAAAAATCTTATTTTCTAGACAGGTCATGATTGTCCATCTGGACTGGAGAAAAGGTAGCTCTTACCTTTGTTCAAAATGTTTGTACCTAGTATTTAATTGCTCCTAGCCCTAGGTGCAAAGTCTGGTTTAAAAGTTGAATTCTGGAGATGAGGCTCTCAAAACAGTAAAACAAATTATTTCATAGTTATTCGCTGCTTTCCTTAGATAAAGGAGGTTTTGTCACTGGCCTCTGTGGAGCCACGATGGGGCCTCATTTCAGAGGGGTCCTGCTGTCAGTGATGGTTGTAAGATCTGCCAAACTGAGAGTGTGAAGAGGGGGAGCCGTGGGACAGGACCGTGTTCACGTGTTCCCGTATTTACTTTTACAGCTGTTGGCTACATTGCTTATTCAATACGAAAGGCTGAGAGGAGTTCAGTCCTCTGGAGTGCTCATTATCTTCTGGTTTTTGTCTGTGCTCTGTGCCGTGGGGCCTTTCCGGTCGAAGATCATGGCTACAACAGCACAGGTAACACGCCATCCTTGTTAGCACTTGGGGAACAGGAAATGTGGCATTAACATCTCTGTGAAGGGAATGAATCACAGAGTTTGGAGTCAGATCTGAGCCAGAGAGAAAGAGAAGTTTAGTTCTGTTGCCTTGACTCAGACTTGTGTAACTAGAAGGGAACTGGGTTTCTCATGCAATGTCAAAAAGGAGATTTTGCTTAGCCCAGGGCTGTACTGGAAACCTGATAGACATGTGAGGGCAGTACCAACTCTGTGTATGTGTTAGAACAGACTCTTTTTTTATCTCTTTCCCATCCCCTGCCATGCTTAAATAGGGATGGGTAATAATTGGAGATGACACATTTTAATATGTAAAGTTCTTTTTTTGCTTAGGCAGCTTGGCCACATTACACAGCTCCATGGGCTTTCTTCTGTCAGTGCCTGATGTGCTGAGGACAGCATTTTGACTCCACTGTGGCTGTAAATAGAGAACAGAAAGTTGGAGGGAGAGGAAAGAAACCTGGGCTGTTATGATTGCTGTTTGAAAACATAGCAGGTTCTCCCACAGTAAGAAACCTGTTAAGTTTTTCACAGAAACAAATTTCACTAAGTAGGGCAAAGCAGATTGCTTCAGTGGTTAGATCATCAAAGCCTGGGAGAGGAAAAGAGCACTTGGAAAACATTAAGGTGATTGCTTCTCCTCAGTGAAATCAGTGTTGATTCTGTTAGGTGATTTCTTGGTTTTCTACTTGCTTTTTTGTAACTATTAGCAGCAGTACCCTGTTAGCAAGGATTTTCCTTTACCAGGCTGTTGTAAATATTCCGGCGGAGATTGAATTAAACCTTTAATGACAGTCTGGGCAGAACATCTTCAGATAATAGCTGCAATCTGGTGAGACCATTTCAAACACCACTTAGAGGCAATTTTAATAAGTAAAAATATTGGACTATTAATGTTTAAATCCTTAATCAACTTGAACTTATGGGCCCAGAGCCTTACAACAGGTCTGGGTAACATTTCTCCTCTTGCAACTGCTGAGAACCAAATATAGTTTCTCTTGCACTTAAGGTTTAAACATTTTAAGTGAACAATGACAATGTTCATAATGGCATTAGGGTATGAAAGAGCTGTATAAAGGACATACCCTCACAGCAATAAGTTTTAAGTAAACTGCAGACTCATGATTAGGAAAGAAATTATCTCTGGAGCAGATGGAATTGTTATTATGCAATGCAGTGGTTTTTTGCAGCTTCTTCTGAAAGTATTTAACACTGACTGCTTGTCAGTGACAAGATATTAAAGTAAAAGGATGTTCTCTGATCTGGGTTGACAGTTCCTATGCTTAAGACATGATCTTGCAAGATCCCCCACAGGTAATTTAAAAGGATGTTATGTAGGCCTGATTCCAGAGGGTGTCTGCGTGCAGTGAGGATGTATAAGCACTTTGAACTTGACATAATTTAATGAAAAGCTTGGAGATAAGCATGTTCTTAGGCACTTGACAGAGTATGTGCATACTTTTGTGAGATAATTCCTGCTAGCAACTACTTTGCAGTATTCAACTTTAGAGAAAGAAAGGAATTGCCAAAAGAAGCCGTGAAAAAGTCAAGAGGGAGAGTCTGTGCGTGTGTGTGTTGGGTGGGCTGAGAAGTACAATAAAAACAATCACTTAGTGTTTCTTTTCCCTCTAGGGCCATGTAAATGAAAGGTTCAGGTTTACCACGTTTTACATCTACTTTGCTTTGATAATCGTGGAGTTGATCCTTTCGTGTTTTAAAGAGAAGCCTCCGTTTTTTTCCCCTGTCAGTACAGATACTGTAAGTATTTTCACTTTGCTTTATCTGAATTTTACAGATTATATCGTGTTTTGAGAGTTCCACTGAGAGTACTTGTCATTGGAAACAGCTTTGGATTGTCATTGAGATGGCAGTAGTTAGTGACCCTCTTGCAAAACACTGAATATGGAGAGTAATATTGGGGTTAGAAGCTTTTTTTCCATTATATGTGCCATCAGAAATGACTGTATAGCGAAAGCAGCTCTCCTGCTTGCTGCTTCACAGCAGTTTAAATTACACTTATGAACTTTGAAGTGTAATATTAATTAATTCAAGAGTGTTTTTTATTGAGATGGTGGTCTACTTGCTTAACATTCATCTAGAGTTAGCAAAGGTTTATGAGGTTTGTCTTAATAAAGGAGTTCTATATGTGTTGAGAATAGATATGAAAAAACATTATTAACAGAAGATATTAGTGGTGTCACAGGTTAAATTTCTTCTCCAGTTCATAAAGTGGTCTCTATAATTGGATTTATGTTTGAACCAAGCTGAGAGAGAAGTTGAGTTCATGTCTTAAAATGAACATTTCAGAAACTGTGGAATGACATTTCACTTTATATAAGTGTGATTTAAAGGCAGTATATGAAGCAATTTTTAGAGATAAAAGGAGTTCTGTCTGACTTGGGAAATGAAAGAAATCAATTTTATGTCTAGTTAGGACATAGGTATGTACATGTAATGCACCATATAATATACCAAAACTGATCAAAATAGACTGTCGTTTTATTAAAGTGATGGTGAATGTCTTGCTTTATTTATTTTGGGTTTTTTTCCCCCATAACTTCATTATAGAATCCATGTCCAGAGTTAAATTCAGGCTTCCTGTCAAGACTGACGTTTTGGTGGTTTACAAGGTGAGCTTCTCTTTTCAAGCTCTTGGACAGCTGACAAGCCCACACTCTACTTGTGCTCTGTGTTGCTCAGAGTCAGCAGCACAGAGCCTTTCCCTCTGTAAGTAGTTGATGTTGGATGCTCTTTCATCCACAGTGGTTTCAGCACTTGTGGCATTTGCCTTTTTGGAAACACACAGCCAAAACTTTTTCTCTGAAGAGGAGTGGCAGCAGCTGTGGCATGACCAGAAGGGTGCACAGCCTGCTTGTGCTCCCCACGTGCTGGAATATAACCCAAACCAAGGTGTAACCCTGTGTTCCACAAGATTAATTGTGGCAGCCTTTCACCCGTCTGAGGGTGCATTTTGTTTCCTGTTGAGGTTCATGGGTGAATGCTTTCTTATAAGGACATTTTCTGTGCAAGAGGGAAAGTAAACTGGGTTATGTATACAAATGAGACTGCTGACAAAAGGTATGTGTATGAAAGGTGCAGATCTGAGATTGGGCCTACTACTGCATGATAAAGGAGTGGAACAGTTGTCAAAGGTCATATTAAGGCCCAGCTCTTCCACAGTGGTTGAGTGTGTTGAGATCTTCATTATTCCATCCATGTGACTTAATTGTCCTGGTAACAGCCCTGTAAAGTTCTTTTAGCGAGAGGGTGAGATCTTTCTGAACTTCCAGAGTTTTGAATGTTCAGCTTCCCTATCGAGATTCTTGGCAACTAGAATCCCTTGACAAAATTCCCCTTACAGTTGAGGACCTGTAGTTTTCAGAGAAATCTGATTTTTGCTTTAATTTCAGTGAGCTCTACTTTTGCATTTTGTTCACCTCTAACACTTATTCCAGGTAGACTTAATTATTTTCACTTCTAGAGCTTCACTGTTTTCATTTAACACCACAGTTTCATTCAAATGCTTCTGGTAGTTGATTTTTATTGGCCCTTTTTTTCTGAAGTGATGTTTTCAATAAAATACATGTAATCAAAAATGCATCATGTCCTTTCCTTAATTACAAACACCAATAAAAGGAACAAAGGGAGATGGAGGTGTAATTATCACTCATTCTGTGGAGTATCTTCTTGCTTTTGTTGGCTTAATAGTCCTAGAGTTCTGGCAATGCTTTAAGTACTATTACCCAAACTGAATTGGGCTGTTTTTCTCCATATGTGCAGCATGGCAATTCATGGGTACAAAAGGCCTCTGGAAGAAAAAGATTTGTGGTCGCTGAATGAAGATGATACTTCAAAAAATATCGTGCAGCAACTGAGTAAAGAGTGGGACAGAGAAAAAGAAGAATGCAAACAGTGAGTATAGGAACAAGTCTGCAAACAGAGATTCTCTGAGTCGTTTCAACATCCTCATCTGTGAAAATGAGCCAAGTAAAAATGCACCCACCTCTTCAACCTTTCTGTTCTTCATTACCAGTAAAATTTGTTTATTTTAGTATGTCTAGGCAGAGGCAAAGAGGAGCCCTGGAGGGCCTGTGTGCCACCAACACACTTTTTAACGAGGTGCTTAAAATCTCCACGGGCAGGTAGTGCCACTCCCCATGTGGAGAAGGGCTGAAGATGCGTGAGGAGAAGGGATTGAGTTGGTTGGGTTGTAGGAAAATGAACAGCTTTCATCACCGAGCTGGTAGATATGAAACTGCATAGTTGCATCCCTCCTAGGCATGTTGGATCACGAATTTTATACCCATAAACCAAAAGGAATTCGTCATCATCTCCGTCATGAGTTTTCTGGCCTGACAATATTTTTAGCCTTAAGGCTCTTAGCAGCGAGCAACTCTTCATTTCCTAGCACTAAAGATAGGAAACTTGAAACATGTAAAAGGCAGGAGGAAAGAGATATCTCATTTTATTGCTGAGACTCTACTCCTGTTGCCTAGAAAGTTAACAGAAAAAATTGTCATAGTCTCTGATGGAAATGGGATGAGGGTCAGAACTTGCCTACAGTTCCATCCCTGGTGGAGAGGATATCCTTCTTATTTGCATGTCCTGTCCTAACCTAATCTTAAGAAATTATCTATTGTGCAACTTTATTTCCTTCTCCCACTGGTTAGTGTCCAAAATGTTTCCAAACAAATAGATGTGATAATAGTGTGTTTCAAATGAAAAATGTCAATAAGGAGGAGGCCTGCACTTCCCTTTCCTTTCATTGTGGAGGTTTCTTCTCCATGTCGAGGCTTTCCTCTGTTCTCTTCTGTGCATATCCTTGCCAAATTGGAAAGACCCTATTATGTGATAATATTGGGAGAGAGTTGTAAGCTTCTTGGCAAGGCTAAATATGATGTGGAGAGCTCCACTTTGCAGCTAAAATTTGAAAGGTTTCCAGCACTAACACCAGCAGTTGTCCACTGGTGCTTTGTGTGGATGGGTTGTGGTTCTACTTCAGGGTTAGTTTCTTTTTTTTTTTTTTTCATTTTCTTAATGTCTCTATTTTTATGGTGTGGAATAATGTGCATTGTCTGGGTTCTGGTCTTTTTTGCACAGACATAAATCTCACTCCCCCAGGCTGTTTTATAGTAAGAGTGCAGCCGTTGTGCAGAAGTGCCTGGGATCCAGGAAAACTTTTGCTAGGAAACCAGAAACCCTGCCTGGAGTTTTGTCATGGGATTCATTGCATTTTGGAAATTATCCATGCAAACTGGGGCCAGTTGGCAATGAATGTAAGCATAAATTATGGCTTGCATTTAGCTCAGGTAAAATTTTGTGGCAACTATATTAATGATTCTAAAATGGGGAAAAGAGTAAAACCAAAGCAAATCACTGTACTCCAGATTGCTGGGTTTCACAGAACTCTGAAAACTCTGCTCATTCTTCAGTTATCGGTAAGTATTCTCTATTACTTCATGTCAAATATTATTAGTGGTAGTTGCTTGGGAGCCATTGTAAATACTTTTTTTTTAGTCTTTTAACTCTCATTAAATCTGCCCTGAGCAAACTTTTATGACATTAAAAATGCCATGTCCTGTTGTACACATGTTGAAAGTGTCATGAAAAGTATTTGCAGTGTACATAGCAGTCATTTATTTTTTAAAACTTAATCAGTTGCAACTCTGGCATAGCTAAAGCTTTAAACTTGTTTTATGGTAATGATTATCACATTTCTGTTGTTCTGTAACCTCTTTTTACATTTTGCTTCACAGCTGTCTTGTGAATTACTGTTAAATAATTGCTAAAAATTCATTTGCTTCTAATGAGTTGCAGGAGAGAGCCCAGCATGGATTTAAGTTGTTATTATAGATAATAAAACACGCAAAGAGTATTTTTCCTTTGCTTTTGCTCTCTTTGCTTGCCTGGCTGAAGTCTCTGCTCACTCACTTTGCTGCTAAGTGCAGTTTCTTCTGAGAAAGTCAGAGCTGTGCTGGATGGAGAAGAGAGAGCTGGAATGCACTTTCCCTCATTTTTAGTTAGCTTCTGGCTTTAGAGACTCTCCTTAGGAAGAGATGTTGGAGATGCAGGGCCTTGTCAGCACCACTGAGAAAGCTGCGTGTTTTCCCATGAGATAATCAGTACCTGTTATCTGCCCTGCTATAAATAATGGAAACCAGGCACATGCTCTTTGCTTTGATGAAAAACTGGGCGTGAGCAATCCCACACACTGCTGAAAACCCGACCTCACCTAACTACGTGTAGTAAACACTAGAAGTGCATTTTCTCCCTTTGGGACTTTTAGCTGCAAAAGAACCATTGCCTTGCTGTTAGCTCAGTGTAATAAACATCTTTAATAGCACAAAGCCAGGGGCGAGTCGTCTTGTTTCTTCAAATCCTTCAATGAGTTTAATAGGCTGGTTGCCAGAAAAACAAGGCTTTGCTCATAAACTCTCCAGGTTTGATCTGGAAAGACAAAGACAACACTGTTTGTTCTTGTCTGGGGGGGAAAAAATAAATTGTCTGGTTTAGGTTCTCCCACTTCCCTCAAACTTTATTGCAGAGAAATTGGAATTTGCAAATGCCTTTGTCTGAAAGGATGTGAACAAGTTTCTACCTGTGGACTCTTAGCCACGCTGATCATATTGAATGCTCACAGGCTGTTGGAATTATTTGACTCTGCAGCCAGCCAGCTCCAAAAAATCTGCAGTCTTTATGAAAAATCATAAATCCAACCTCACTTGGTAGTACTTACAAGTTGTTTTTCAAACGCCTTCTGGTAAGTCTTCACTGTTTCTAGGGTCTTTCTTCCATCTGTTTCTTCTTGTAAAGCGTATATGCCCCAGACTAATTTCCTTCTCCCTGCTCCACCTGGACTTAGCTTTCCTGTCTGACATTCAGGAAATTGTTCTCTGGTCCCCAGGAAACAACAGCAATTTGATATTTGCTGGCAGAAAAGTTGCCAGGCTGATCTTTGAGAGCAATTCATGGAGGAAATAATTTCCCAGAGCACCCCTTCTTTATTGATGGGCAACAGAAGTCAGGCAGCTAAACCCCAGAGGTGCTTCTAGAAAACACTCCTCGAGCCCTGGAGAGCAGAATGGGCCTCTTGGGTCCATTTTTGTCATCAGTCAGTCAGAGTATGCAGAAGAGGTCACTTTTGTTAGCTTATTTGACAGCTGGAGAAAGAGAGGCAAAAAGTAAAAAAGGAATCATAGAATCCTAGAATCATTAAGGTTGGGAAAAAATTTCTGTGACTGAGTCCAGTGGTTAATGAAATGGATGCAACCAAACAGAGTTTAAATGCTTAAATTGTCAACCAAGTAAAATTTAGGCACCTAAACCCAAAGTTTCTCTCCTGGAAGAACCTCAGACAGCTGCAGTCCAGATCTTGGAGATGTCTCAGCTTTGGAGGTTTGTGCTTGATTTCAGGTTTCCAGGAATGCAAAACTCTGTATTTAGAGAGGGCTATGCCTGGTTCAGTGCCTGTCTCCCCAGGGAGATTCAGAATTCTTCTCTGTGTGATCAGAGAAGGCTACAGGTTTGTACAGCCATTAATTGAATAATGAACACAGGCTCAGGAGGAGTAGGGGAGGGTGCCTTGTGTGGTGTGTAACAGCAACAGTTAGAGGATTCCTGTACAAGGAACTGGAGATCCAAGGTCAGTTCTGTCCTCTGCCTACAGAAGTTGAGACTTTATCTCCTCTTCCTATGGGCCACATTCTCATCCCATGATGATTGATTTTCTGGCCTGGGGAGTGCACCTCATAAGTCCTGCAGAAAAAGAAAAGAAAACGAGGCTCAATTACATGAGAGAGGCTGATCCACCTTGATCTTCTTGGAAGTCTTGCTGTTGGTCAGTAGCAGAGCAAAGAAGGGAGCAGAGTTTTGGGTGTTAACTGCAGTGCTGTGCACAGAGGGCAATGACATTCTCATTGTCAGATGTCTCCAGTAGCTTGTTTCGTTTCCCTAGGAGAGATGACGTGACATATATGAAGAAATCGAACCATGTGCTGAATCATGTTGGAGATGGTCCAGAGGAAGCAGAAGTTCTGATCAGAGACAAAAAGCACAATAGGAAACCTTCCTTTCTCAAAGCTTTGCTGAGGACCTTTGGGCCATACTTCTTAATTGGCTCCTTCTTCAAGCTGATACAAGACCTACTTTCTTTCGTCAACCCCCAGCTGTTAAGGTTGGTTTACTCTGTGAGTAGTTTCTATGTGCAGTCCCTGTGCAGGCTTGGCTTTGGCACGGGGTATTTGTTTTTGAAATGCATTGCTACTTTCCCTCACAGTGCTGGAGTATGTGCTCCCTCACCTTCCCAATGCCATAAGACAGGAGTTCTTTACTGTGGACTCAGCTGTAAATTGGACAGACCTCACTGAAATGCAAGATTTACAAATTGCCCATCACCCACAGACAGCTTTGAATTACAAATTACCTGTTGTTGCTCCGTGCAGCAGTGCAAAACAATTTCTCCCCATTTCTGAAGGACTATTTGTGAAATCAAAGCCAAGAACTGCTGGCTGGATCCAGTGGTCTCTGTACATCTGATACCCACATGAGCTGATGGTGGTTGCAGGTGTGGCGTGACTTGATGCACAGATGAAGTGTGATGCTCAAGTATGTGGTGCCTTGGCTGTGCTACTGTCATCTGGGAAAGGTTTTGGACCATTTAGATGAGTTCTTAGTTGTGCACAGCAGTAAGAATGTGTGAGGCACAGTTGCAGTGAATTTCCACGTGAAAGAAAATTATGGTTCTATTAAAAAAAACAACTGAGAGGTCATGACAGAAGTGGTATGTCCTCAAATTCTCTCTATATAAGGAACACCTGTACCTCCCATCTCCAGCTGGTTGCCCAGCTTGATAAATAAAGGAATTGGCATGATCCCCACATTTTTTTCTCATCATTCTTAAAGTGAAAATTTCCCCAGACAATCATTAACTAAGCAGAAAGTAACAGTGGAAATACCAGTGTTTCTATCAAGCAATTATTAATGGAAAAGAACATAGCCCTGTTAATGCATGAGAGAGGGATGGAGCTTGGATGGAGGCCACAGGTGGATGTAGGGAAGGGGAGAAGAGAAGGCTCCTATCTGAGTGTCTCTCAAAATAACCACTGTTCTGAGATCATGTTGTTCTGTGGGTGGTTTGTGACATACCCAGAAATTTGCTAAAAAGAGGGTCTGACCCAGTATGGTGACATTTAATAGCTCACAGTTTGTCTTCTCCCAGAGACCTCAGTGAAGAGGAGGCAGCTGGCTTCCTTCTGAGAACACATTAAGTATAAACTATTCTGGGAATTTCTCAAATTTGCATAAATTTCTGGATATGTTGTCAGTGATATCTCTAGACATTATGGGGAATTTCTTCTCAAGTCTAAATTCCTGCAGTCTGGGAAAATGCCCTTCTAGTGGTAAGAGAAGATCAAAAAGCCATGGCTGGATGGCAGGTTGCATGTAAGATAGTTTCATGTTTTAAAAAAATTGATGAATCCCATACTGGGGCTGCAAGGAAGATATTTTCCTGAGGCTGCCCACTGACTGGAGTAGTGCAGAAGGAAAATCTCTCTGGACTGGAAGAAGAAAGATGTAGCAATCTCATGCTTCTACCATAAGGCTTTGGGGCCTTATTTGTAGTTTCCAGGTATACTTTTTCCCTGCTGGTTATCTGAACCATGGAGGTAAATCTCTCTTCCTCCCATGTTTTGACAATTCAATGCTCTAGTAAGTAGGCTGAAATCACAAATGTGATTTTTGACATTGCCATATCTTGCTCTGCCTGTTTGCTGCATGTCAGTGTGCAGGTCAGCACAAAGAGCAGCTGTGAGGAGCAGGAAATGGCTTGTCAATGAAAGATGCTACAGCCAGTTTAATGGGACTACCATTTTACAGAAAAAAAAAAAGTAGGAGTGAAGAACTCTTTATGCAGCCATCCAGGAGGATGTCTTTTAATCTAGCTTTTTTTGTGGGAAAACACCCCAGGCAGAAGCAGACTCAGGCTGGTTGAAGAGCATTTGGGTAAGAAGCTGGTTTTGCCTGCTCTGCTGCACTGCCCTACTCTGTCCTATCATTCACCTCCTGCCCTGGGGGGCTGCCTGACAGAGCTCAGACAGTGAGCAGAGTGTTTAAACTCTAGATCTCAGGGGAAACCAAGAGTTTCTCCTCATATTTCATTTTCAGGCTCATTTGCAAATGGGCTTTCTCACTGGCAGAGCTTAAGGTTTTGCTGCTGGATCTTTGCAATGTTGTTTGACTGAAGTCATAACTCAGCTTGTGTCCTGCAGAGCTGTTTGCTTTTTGTGGTTAGAGAGAGGATGTGGCAGGATGCTGTAGTTGGGAGAAGCTGTGTTATATCCCATTAAACTTGCTGCATGGTTTTTTAATTCTGTTTCTTTTTCCTTTTCCTTCCCCAATCTACTGAAAAACAGTGTATTAATTGGCTTCATCAAGAACAAAGATGCCCCAGCCTGGTGGGGATTTTTGATTGCGGCTTTGATGTTTGTCTGTGCTGTGCTGCAGACACTCATACTTCACCAGCATTTCCAGTACTGCTTTGTTACTGGGATGAGGCTGAGGACTGGGATCACTGGAGTGATATACCGCAAGGTAAGACTGGAGGCATTTCATGTGCTGAAACATCAGTGTATAGCCGAGAAAGTGGTCTGAGTTCTCACACAGTTAGGGAAGATCAGGCATATTGAAAAAGAACAGCCTCCTGGAATGTAAAACATTGGTGTTTTGGTGAGTTTTTAGAAGTACCTCTGTCGTACTTCACAGAATTTTCTAGCTATCAGCACCTTAATGTGGGTGTACGGGTAGGTCACCAGATATACCACAGGTTCACTTTAAATGCTGAAAGAGGAGGGATTTAGATTAAATGTTAGGAAGAAATTCTTCCCTGTGAGGGTGGTGAGGCCCTGGCACAGGTTGCCCAGAGAAGCTGTGGCTGCCCCATCCCTGGAGGGGTCCAAGGCCAGGTTGGACCGGGTTTGGAGCAACCTGGGATAGTGGAAGGTGTCCCTGCCCATGGCAGAGGGCTGGAACAAGATGATCTTTAAGGTCCCTTCCAACACAAGCCATTCTATGATTTGGAAGAGGGATCCAGGAGAATAACATGTTTTTGCTATGAGTGTATTAGGTCCAGCTGGGTTTTCTTTGGAATGCTACATAGTACTTGAAATAGAGATGCTCACAAGCAAACCACTTCATGAAGTCTTGAATTGATGTAGAGTTAGGGGAGTGTCTTGTTTTGCTAATAATTGAGGATTTCTTCTCTGTGTTTCTCCATGTCTGTCAAGACTGTGAATCCACTGAACCTCTCTTCCTTCTCAGTCCTTAGCCATCACAAACTCAGCGAAGCGCTCATCTACTGTGGGAGAAATTGTCAACTTGATGTCAGTGGATGCCCAGCGTTTCATGGACCTGATGACTTTCCTGAACATGTTGTGGTCTGCACCACTCCAGATATTTCTGGCTTTGTATTTCCTCTGGGAGGTACAGACATTGTCACACTTTTTTTGCAATTCATCTAAATTATGTGGAAGCTTTTTTTGTGTGTGTGATTTTTGACCCTCCACTGCTTTTTTAGAAACTTATTGTCCTGTAGTAAAATAGCTTTTACTGCTTCACACCCTCAATTAGTGTCTTAATTATTTTGTTCAGCTGGTAGGCAAGATAGGGCATTTGAAGCAGGAGATGGCCTTTATGTCCTCTTTGCCCCTACCATGTTTTCATGGGATCTGTCTTGGACTCATCACAGTGTTCCCAGTAGTTGGTACAAATGAGAGCTTGAGGGAAATGGTCTAGAGACCAAACCAAACGAAAAACCTGGACACAGGAAATGTAAACCATGTGTAAACATTATATCCTCCTATATAAAGTTTTGTGCAAATCAATGTGAAACAAATTTCACCTGGGATAACCATAATTTTTCCTTTGCTACAGTGATGTTGTTTCAGGTTTATTCCAGGTTCGCTTTGAGCACTGGCTTTCAGCCTTAAAATGTTTCTGTGCAATTAATCTCTTTTACTGCATAAAACAGTAGCAACAACTTAACCTATATTGATTTAGACTCGAAAGCCATTAAGTTGCAGCAGCTTTATGAATTACTGCTCCACTGGAAGCTGAGCTCTATCAGGCAGCAGTTTGTGTGCATGTACTCACACTGGGGGTACTGGGTTAATTCAGTAATTACAGTTCCCTTGGTCAGAGAGAAGTCAAGGGAAAAAATTCCTTCTCTGTGGCTTATTTGTTCCCTTTTTACATTTGCTTTGTATTTGCATTAGTTCAAAATTATTCCCTCCCCCGCCAGTGGGAGCCACTTAGCAGGTAAATCACAGAGCGCTCTGTTATCACCAATACTAGCATAATAATAATAATTCAAAGTGAATTTTTCTGTCACCTCTTCACAGTTGTTCTGTGGAATCAGAACACTTCACTGGGAGAAGTTCAACTTGTCTCTGTAGTCTCTGTTTCTATAACCTACTGTTGTTTTAATGCTGACCATAGGGAACAGCAGCACTCGGGTACAACAACAGCTTACCTTTTCTCTTTAAATTCAAGGCTTTAGGGCCTTCTGTGCTGGC